TTGTAAAAATAATTAGAAAATATTTTGTATTTTTTAAAAAGAAATCTCCATATATCAAAATGTGTTGAAGCAGTGTTTAGAGCAGCACTGTCTAATGGAAATATAAGGTAAGCCACAAAAGTAATTTTAATTTATCTAGCAGCCACACTAAAAGAAGTAAAAAGAAAAAAGGTGAATTTTAATGTTATGTTTAATTTAACGCAATATACCCCAATATTACTATTTCAATGTGTAACAGTATAACAATAATTGAGATACTGTATATTTTTTTGTACTAAAGTTTCAAAATCTGATGCTTATTTTATACTTACGGTACAACCCAATTCAGACTGGTCACATTTCGAGTGCTCAATAACCATGTGTGGCTAGTGACTACAGCATTAACACAGGCTTACAGGAAATTCTGCAGCATTAAATACTTAGGAAGATCATCTAATCAATGATCTAAACTCCCATGTCAGGCAACTAGAAAATAATTTAACCCAAAGCAAGGTGAAGAGGTAACATAATAAAGATAATGAGGAAAAATCTACAAGATCAAAACCAGAGAAACAATAGGGGAAAAGCAGAAAGCTATTTGCTTGAGAAGGTCGATAAAATTGATAAAAGTTCTACCCAGACTTCAAGAAAAAAAAGAGAGAAGACACAGATTACCAATATCAGAAATGAATGCTAGGAAATCCATCACTATAGATCCTATTGACATTAAATGAGTAAGGATAATAAGGGAACAATTAATCCCATGAGGGTGTCTTAATTTCTGAAATTCTTCAAATTTTTCTCTGTAAAATGGTTTTTTTTTAAGACAGCATCTTGTTCTGTTGCCTGGGCTAGAATGTAGTAGTGTCATTTACCTCAAACTCCTGGGCTCAGGTGATCCTCCTGCCTCAGCCTCCCAAGTAGCTGGGGTACATCACCATGTACTCCCGATGTACATCACCATGTGAGGCTAATTTTTCTATTTTTTGTAGACACGGGGTCTCGCTCTTGCTCAAGCTGGTCTCGAACTCCTGACCTCAAGTAATTCTCCTGCCTCAGCCTCCCAAAGTGCTAGGATTACAGGTGCAAGCTACCGTTCCTGGCCTGTAGAATGTTTTTATACTCCAAAAAGCCTTTCAATGTGACATGATCAACCCTAGATTAGGAATCAGGAGACCTGTGTTCTAGTCCTGGCTCTAAAACTCTTCTACGTGACTCAACATGTAGCCTCTCCCTTCTGGGCCTCATCTCTGGAGACACTTTCAGCTCCCTTATCTATGCTCCATGAATTATCGGTTGCTTGCCTGAGAGGTGTGACTCAGGGTGCCTCCGAAACAGTTCTTACATGTCAGAGGTGAGCCAGGAAGAAACAACACAGGAAGGGAAATCTGTGGGTTATGTATTTAGATCAAATAAGAGCTAGTTGCTTACACATCTGGAGTACATATTTTTAGGACAAACGGATCTGTTTCATGACTTCTATAATGTCCTATTTACAGTGCATCAGACAATGGCTACAAAAGCAGTATCCTTTAGATTCAGTAATTTAATCAGTAAATGTTGATTTTATTGACTCATTAGGAAAACCAAGGAAGGGACTCTCAGATGGGGAAGGAACTTCTCACAGCCCGTATAGCAAAACTCTTTCTTCCTCGAAAAGTCATTGTCCTGCTTCTGCTTGAATACCACCAGAGATGGGACACTCACTATCTCCTTCTCACCCAGTGTAAGTAAGCTCTTTGTTATACGGGGCTTAAAATATTAATATGTGCCCCTCAACCTCTCCCACATTAGTGCTCATTCCAACTTTACAGCATAAGCCATTCCACTCTTGACATTTATAGACATGACGTCATTTTGCTGAACAGCCACCAGGGGACCCTGGAGATCTTCTGACAAACAAATATAAAGCCAAAAAGCTAGAGAAAGAAATCTGTTTTATTAAACAATCTCATTTTCTTTAAGTAAGGTGTGTGAGTATGTGAGAGTGTGTGTGTGTGTGTGTGTGTGCATGCATATGTGTGGGAGGGGCGGGTGCTCAGAGGACTTCATAAATACCTGGGGAATGAAATCTATATCCTGGTTGCCAATTGGCCACTTGAGGGCCACACTGTTTGAATTAGCTGCCACTATTTAAAAACTGGAAAAGTTGCACGTATGTACACAAAACAAAAATCTCTGGCTTCTTTTAAATTTGGAAATATCCCCACCTGGGGCCATCACCACCTGGAGCTGGGTGACTTTAAACTGAGCCACGTACCCTTTTCTGGCCGTGGCCCCTGATCAAATCACTCATGTATTCTTCCCACCTGGCCACAGGAGGCAGGGAGAGAAAACCGCATGTTAAAACCTAGTTCTCTGAGCAGACTGTGGAGATCCAAGCAGACCGTGGAATTCCAAGGGGAAACAACCCCGAATCACCACCCAAACTGGAAGTGTCTTAAAGGGCTTCCAATGGGCCCCCCATTTTTCTCATTGATAAACCATCTAGATTCTCATCCATGTCTCTGGTATAAACAGCAACCAGGATGGGGCAGGGAGCTCTGATGGAGCAGATTCTGGCGAGAGCTGTCTGAGAGAGCAGCCCCTTTGCTAACAGAGGGGCATAACCTTTACAGACCCTTTGATGAGCTGCTGGGAACCAGGGATTCGGAGGACAAAAAACAACAACAAATAAGACAAAAACCAAATCAATCAAACAAACAACACATACCTTTACATACTGCATTTGCACATAATTCTAGGAAGTTTAAGGGTGGTCCTTCAGATTCTCAGATTAAGCCTTTTAAGAATAAAGGGCTGGGTATTGAACTTAGTTTCCTCCTGATCTAGAACTTTCACTATTTTTAGTCCTTGAAGATACTAACCATTTCTCTAAGTTGGTTAATGTCATCCCTAACTCCTTCCTGTTTCTCACTGTTACCTGGTGACTCTGTCACGTGATGTCCACTTTGTGTGGACATCTGCTGCTTTTAACACCCCCATCCATTCCTTTTTCTTTTGGTGCAGAGCCCCCCTTCTGCTCTGAGGCACCATCCCTCTCACTCTGCGGGGGTCTTGGTGGTGCTGTCAATCAGAACGCCCTGACTCTCCTTGCCCACCAGATGAGCATGCGCGATTGGACTCTCTTGCCATAGAATTTGCATCTTGAGCATTGGGCTGAAGAACAGGAAAGAGTTGGTGGAAATTTATCCCAGAGGCAGAGTCCCTTAATTCCTCTGACTTCAGTCTCGAGCTCCGCCTGGTCCCTGTCTTTTTCAATGTCTACTTCTTCAGCTTTTCCTTTGAGTCTGTGAGCCACCTCTAAATCCCTTTGTTTTAGCTTAAGTTGTCCTGTTGCTTGATACCAAAGAACCCAGCTGATGTTCTTCTCTTAGATTCAGTTCAATTCCATGAGCATTTACTGCACCTGGAATTTTGCACTTGCTCTAGGGAGGTCCTAGTGGCCTGACTCCTGTAAACTCCTGGGGCCTGGTGGAGGGGCAAGGAAGGAGCAAGGCTGCCTGCCTGCTACTCACATGTCAGACAGACCATGGCTGTGCGGACGCCCAGGTCCACCGCGAAGGCCCAGCGGTTCGGCACCCGGGACAAAGCAAAGGGCACGATGATCTCCGCAGGGACATAGAACTGCAGGGGGTAGGTGAGGCAGATGCCGCCCAAGTAGAGGAGCTTGACAGACTGGTACAACCTGCGGGAGCCAAAGGGGATCAGGAAGGATCCACACACAGACACCAGTAGCCTCTGGGGGACCCATGAGGGATTGCGGGGAGAGCTCCCAGGCTACAGCATGAGGCACAAATTGGGGATCATCAAAACTACTTTCAACAACTTGCTAATCACCCAAAAATACAGCAATGTGTTAATTGGCTGCATGTTTCTAGGCACTAGAGACTCTAGGAAGGGCACGAAGGTGCCAGGACCTACAGAGAGGATAGTGGGTTCATGTTTCCCATCTCAACTCCTTCGGAGACAGCTGTTACGTGAGTGATGAGGTGGCTGAAACCGCCTGCACTTTAAAAACAGCTCTCTGTTTTTCATAACTGAATTTGCAGAAGGTCAGAAGGCGAGTGATGTGCATGTTGGAAAAATTACTAGATTGAGTTTCAGGAGACCTGGAATCCTAACTCAGCCTCTACCCCTAAGTATCGAGGTCACTTTACTTCCCTGGACTTTATTTGCCTCATCTGTAAAATGGGGATGTTCTCTGTACCTGCTAAAAGGCAGGGGCTGGATCTGATGGTCTCTGAAAGTCTGTGATTATGAGATACTAACCACATGGGACTAATTTTAATCGCTAATAGAAAAAAATAACACTGCTTTTTAGTGGACATAAGGCGGAGGAAAGATTAATGATACGTTATTCCAATGCTCAAAGAGCCTTTAATCATATCTCGTTGCCTACGAGAAAGAGTTCCTAACTGGAGCCTGGGATTCGAAGCCCATCCTCTTTCAGGTCCAGTGGCTCTAACTGTCTGGTACGGTTACCACGCTGAGAATGTTGTCCCACCCTCTCCACCCTCACGCGCTCGATGTCGTAACTATACTAGACGATCAGAGCCACCGCCCAGGCACGTGATCCACCTCCGCAATCGGTGTCTTTGCACGGGCGGTTCTCTCCGCCAGGAATGGCCTTGCCCTCCCTGTGTTACCTGTCGCATTTGTGTTCCTCGTTCAAGTCTCAGAGGCTCCTGTGATGCCTCCCTAGTCCCTGATCAGGATTAATCTGCCTCCTTTTGAGCTCCCACAACACCAGTCCTCACGCATGTTACAGAGCCTCCCACACGGAGTGTGAGTTGGTGTGTGTGCGGCCGCCTTTCCAGGAGCCCGGATCATGTGAGCGCTCCTCTCCCCTGGCGCTGGGTCTGCACGTGGTAGGGGGGCTGCGATAAGGAAAAATTGAGATCATGCCTGGAAACCACTTAGCTCATGGGGAGCACTCGATGCATGCTTGCTATTCTTCTTAATGATGGATGCAAATTACTGAGAATATTAAATCAAGTTATTATATTTTTTCTAAATCTTTACTATTTATATGTTAGATCAAAAATGTGGATTTCTGTTCTTTAGGGCCATTCACTTACCGTAGTAGCCAAAAATCGATTAGGGGTCACACGCAAGAAAAAAGTGTATATTGGCCGGGCGCGGTGGCT